CAAAACACATTGCAGGAAATCGCGAAGCACACCTCCCTCCATTCCAAATATGCGATAGCTTCGAACGAAAACTAAACAAAGAGTTGTAGGAAAACAAAAACCACGCGTTCCTACAATTGGATTGGTCACGGACCACGCCGTCGTACAATTGTTTGTCCTATTTCACGGTTGACTCCCACACGTTAGCGTGTCTACAAGACGGGGCGTCCATCCACCCGCGACAGGGGCGCACCCCTCCGCGGCGACAGGGGCCCGGGGGAGGCCCCCGAAGAGCGCGACACCTGCCAGGGAAGTTCCGCCGCTGCCTCGACCGGCCCCCCCTTCCGAGCGCCCCCCCCCCCCGCAAGACCTTCACGACAGCCGCGCCAACGGCGTGTTTGGTTCACGGCGCGGTTGGGAAGATGGTTATTGTGACACTGATCTCATGCAAAACAGTGTAGGAAATCGCGAAACACCGTCTCCTACATTTCAAATATGCGAATGCACCGAGCGAGTGCGACGCAGCAAAGTGTAGGGAAACGCGAACCATGATGTCCTAGAATTGGTTCGGCCACGAACTAGTCCCACCTACAATGCCGATGCCTACGTCGCGTTACCTACATCGCCGCTAGCGCGTGTACAGCCCCCTCCCGCGACCCCAGGAGACCCCAGAAACGAATCGTTACCGTAATGTCAGCTTGTGATTGACAAATCCGTGGGGGGTGCGTGTTAAAAAAATTGTTCCCCTGCTCGGGCGCATTGAGAGGTGGCGCTCGCCAGATTGAAAATCAAGGGGGCGGCGCCGGTGATTAGCGCCGACACCCGGCCGCCAACGAGAAGGCCACAGACAGCACAGACTGGGGGAGGGGGGGGCGGGAGGCAAAGGCGGCAGAAGCAGGGGCCGTGAGCCAGAGCGACACCTGTTTGAAATGAAGAAGATCTGATGTCGGCGCTCGCCCCCGCACTTTCCGTGCTCTTTTCTGTCGAACCGATGCGTTTCCTTCGCCCTGGCCGCAGCCAGGGGGGCGCCAGCTGCTTCGAGGGCCCGCGAGCCAGGCGGGCTGAACGAAAAGGGGGCGCGACCAAGAGGGGATTTGCCCAGCAGCTCATATTGTTGATTTGCCGAGCGCCCCTGGCGCCGAACGCGGCCATGCATCGAGGATTGGCCCCTCGGCGGGGCGATCGAAACCAGCTGCGCGCAGTAGGTTTCGCAACCCCCCTTTTCCTTCCCCAGCCTTTCGTCCGACCCGAGCAAGGCGGGCAATCCTCCTCCCGCCCTCTGTCGTGGTCTCTGTAGTCGTCGACGACGAGGACGACGACGACGACGACGACGGGAAGAGGACGAGGGCGACAGACGGCGGACGGCAGACGGCGACAGCGGCGACGATGACGACGCACTGCGGATGCCCTATGGGCGGGGCCGAGCAGGCCCGCTGCAGTCGACGACGACGACCACGACGACGAAGACAACGACAACGACGACAACGACGACGACGACGACATGGACGACGAAGAAAAAGACGACGACGACGACGACGACGACTTCAAGGACGACGACGAAGAAGACGATGACGACGACTAGGACGACGACGACGACGACGACGACGACGACGACGACGACGACGACGGCGTCGGCGGCGACGACGACGACGACGACGACGACGACGACGACGACGACGACGGGACGCTGGAGAGGGGAGAACAAATCGCCCAGGATGTGTACGACCCTTATAACAACTTCTATACGACAGGCAATCGTTTTGAGACTGGCACGCAAGGGGGTACTCGATCCCCTCGGCGGCGCCAGCGACGACCCCCTAGCGCGCGTGATTCAGAAAAATGTTTCGCGCCCCGCGGGGTCTATTCATCAGCCCCTGGGGGGGGGGCTGGTCATCTGTTAATCACAAGCTGACATTAGGGGCCAGTCCACAAGAAACCTTCCACAAGGAATCCAACCCTGAGAGCCCAGGACGTCCACGGATCTTTGGCGTGGGATCGTCGCGCGGTCCATCGCGAAATCGAATCGTCGGAACCCAAGAAATCCAGGGCACCCTGGAGGCAAGCAGGGTGCTTCTTTGCATGGGTCTCCTGTTAAGTCAGATCGGCGATCGAAATGGATCGGATCCGGGGATATCGACAGCCAAGTCGGGAACAGTCGAAAATCGGCGGACATCGGCAAGCCAATATGCCTTCGGTGAGAGATCGAAGCCCAAATCGGAATCCCAAGCCGAATCGAATCGGAATCGGAAGCCATCAAAGTCATATCGAATCGAATCGGATAATCAAAACGAGCCCTGGACCCCCGACGCCACGAGGTGCTCACAAAACGTGAACCCCGACGGTCTGGACCCTCTCCACCAGAGGCCTCCCAGATTGGGTCGGAGTACAGTCGGAGTTGATTGGAGAGGACACGCGAGAGACCCGAATCGAATCGAAGAGTCGAATCGGCGATCGAAATGAATCGGATTGGCCGAAATCAGCAGTCAAGGTGGGGAAAAGTCGAATCGGCGGACATTTGCAGACTAATATGCCTCCAGTGAGAAGTCGAAGCCCAGATCGGAATCCCAAGCCGAATCGAATCGGAATCGGAAGCCATCGAAGTCGTAAAGAATCGAATCGGAGGAATCAAAACAAGCCCTGGACCCCCGACGCCACGAGGTGTGAACACAGCGTGAACCCCGGAGGTCTGGACCCCATCCACCAGAGGCCTCCTAGATGGGGTCGGAGTAGATGGGGTCGGGTGATGGCGCCGCATCGCCGATGCATCGGCCATGCATCGGCGATGCATTGGTGATGCACCGGCGATGCATCGCCGACGTCGGCGATGCATCGGCGACGTCGACGTGAAGCAAGTAGGGCTCCGCATCGAGCCGCATCGGCGATGCATCGGCGATGCGGCGCGATGCTCCGAACCCATCTACTCCGACCCCATCTAGGAGGTCGGAGTAGAAGCAAACCTCTCGCAGGGAAGAATTCGGAGAAGAATGCAGCCGTTGCGAGGATGACCTCTCCAGGCCGAGCAGCGGCATCGGTACTTCTGCCTCCTCTGATCGACCCGCCTTCCTCCGATCCTCGCTCCCACCACCTCGTCTACGCCACGTTCGGTAGGACGGCGCACGCGGCGCCGCGTCCATAGCGGAGATGCCACCCTGAGGCGGCGACGGCGGAGGCAATTTTATGTCAGAGTCGGACTGGCAGACTGCGCTGTCCCATGCATCTCTTCTCCGTAACGCTGTTGCTGTTTGGGTTTTGGTATTGCTCTGATGATCTGAACTGCGAGTACCATGACTACTACCAAATGTGTATATGCTGATTATTCTCCTTCATCTTCTCACTCCTCTCCCCTCACCCCCCTGGGCCCCCGAGCCACGGCCGATCCTCGCGGCGCCAACTCGCTGCCGCCGCGCACCCGCGCCGCCGGCGCCGCGGCCGTGGGGCTGGGCGCGGCGGGCCTCCTCTCGAGGGGGGGGGGGCGGGTTGCAAAGGGGGGGGGAGGTGCCTCGGAGGGCCTCGCTCTGGGCAGCCATAGAGCGGGCTCTAGAAATATGAGAAGGCGTCTCGGTCCAGGGATCGTAAGCGCTCGAGCGGCCCAAGATCGCCAGAGGAAGCGAAACATCACGCTGACGGGGATAGGGGTGCAACATCTTTCGCCGCTGGGAGCCCTGTTCTTCCCACGGAGGAGAGAGGGAGAGAGAGAGGGGACGAGAGGACAGGGGGGTCCTCCCTTCATGATTCCGGGCCCCGAGGCTAACGTTATGCGAACCCACATTGCCCCTGCAGGTCAGATTTATGAAACGCCAGGCGGGGGCTCAGAATTCGAAGGATGTCTGCAGCGAGGGATAAACCCCAGCGGGGGTGTCCGATACTCCAGCGTCGAGGAGACTTGCAGGGTAAGATTCCGCAAGCAGGGTCGCAGATCGCTCGGCGGCGCGCCAAGGGGGAAACGAGACGAGACAGGCCTCTCAGAAGGCAGCGGGGCTCCCCTCAGTCGTCCTCCAGCCTCCTGAGAGGCCGCTTCGGCCTTCGGAGAAAGCCTAGGAAACTTCCCGCCCCCCCCCCCGTCTTCTCGGGCGCGGCCTGACCGATCCCTAACAGACCATCCCCTTCCGTGACGTCGCTATCACCTCTCCAGCTTACCTCCGGCAACATACGTATGATGGACAACGGTCGGGGGGGGGACTGGCATAGGGGGGGGGATGCATCGACCTGGAATCGACGATACATTATCGATAGATCGGCGGTAGGCCCCCGATAGGGAATCCACGCCTTCCTGGGCGGGTTGGGGCTATCGGGTCCCTATCGGCGATCAATGGGCGATTTTGGGTCGATGCGTCCCCCCCTGTGCCTGTCCCCCCCTCTCGTTGCCCCCGACCATACGTCACGGCACGGCAGGGGATGGTCTGCTAGGGGTCGGTTGGGCCGCCCCTGACCTTCCCTCAGGTCGGGCGTGTGCTCCTACAGGCAGATTTTGGCCGACAAATCAGGAATAGTCAAACGATGCTCAAACAATTATTATTTGTAAAAAAATGTCACAAAAAACGCCTCCAGACAATTGCTCGACTGGTCTTGAATGTTCATCAAGTAGAGGACGTGCCCAAATCAAACCTTTCCCCCTGAGCGCGCCGCCAACCCGCGGGAAGACGAGGCTCGACCCAAGCCTCCGCTCGTCGCGGCATATATGCAGCGGGGCATCTCTCGCCGGGCCCTGGGGGAAAATTCAAACATGGCCCATGATGAAACACCGTTCCGGGGCGAATACAGTCATCGGCCTGACCTAAGAAGCGATAAATAAGGAACGGAGCCCCTGTTTTTCCAAGGAATAACGCATAAGGAACGATACATAAGAAATAGCGCATAAGGAACGATACATGACGCATGCAAGCCTAAGGAACGACGGAGCCCCTTTTGAAAAGTAAGTGTTCCTTATACAAGCCGCTCACTGTAAGGGGTCTGGACCTCTGGGGGCACAAGATATGGAAAACGGCGACGTAGGAGATCGGGGAGGTGCGTACGAGGATTGAGGTTCGACCACCGACGAGGTTCAACCTGTTTTGGCGTCCCTGCCTCACTTTGGTCCTCTGGAGGCCTCCTGGGACCTCCGGGCGCTGAGGAGGGAGGAGGGCACGAGGGGAGCGAGAGCAAGGTGAGGGCCACGGGGAGAGAGTTAGGGAAGGGCCAACGGAGCTTTAGGTCGAGCTGTAGGGATAGGCCCGACTTAAACGGAGCTGCATCCCCCACGCCAGCAAACGCCACGGAACACAGACCCCCGACGTCATGACTTTTTCACCGGACACGTTCGACCCATTCCCCGGGACGGGCTTTTCACCGTTAGTCCTGGGGCCAAACGAGGGCCTCCAGAACCCAAAGATGGTTAAACAAAGACATGCCAGTTTTGATTTTTGCTCGCGACACGAGGGGGTCTGGGAGGAGCGGGGAAGGGGCGGGGCGGCCCAAAGCCAAAGAGCGCCGAGGCCCGAGAGAGGCCCTCTCTGTGGCGCCGCGAACATTGTCTGGCGGGGAGGCTGCTCAAGCACAGTCCTTGCCCACCCAAAATGGTGTCCAGCTGCAAGAGGGGTGGTGCCATGGATCTGGTGCAATAGATTCGTGGGTTGCAATCGAATTGGGGCGTGCAGTACAGAATGGTGCGCGAATATATTGCTGTGCACTCGCGTGCAATGCATTAAGCTGCAATTCAATGACATATAATTTTCTGGCACGAGGCATTTGCAACACAACTGCCCCAAATCTATTGCACCACCCCCATTTTGCTGTGTTCCATTTTGGGTCGACCAGAACAAGTGATCTTCAGCGGCGCACGGACGGGGCTGGTACGAGGGGGGCGGTCCTCTGAGGAGACAGCGGGACGTCCCAAGAGAAGGTCGGAAGCTCCTGAGAAAACACTTCTGGGCCCCTCCAACGGGACACTTTGGACGACGCCCTCTGTGAACGAGGGGCCACCAAGGGGTCGGTAGGCGGTGCGGCTTAAGTTATAGGATCTCTGGCCCCTCTTCGGTGGCGACGTCCGAACCCCACCCCCGCCAACCATCGGTTCTCCTGAATCGATGGGGGCCGGCGGGTACAGTTCGGACTTCGACACGAGTTCGACGAATTCCGAACCCTACCCCGCCGACCATCGAGTGGCCGGAATCGTTGATCAGGTTCGGCCCCCTGGCAGTTTCCAGGTCATGACTCGAGCCTCCGGCGCCCGTTCGGGACGATCTGGGCACCCCTGGAACGCCCTCGGTGAGGCGCAGCTGCTGGAGGGCATCCCGAGGCAGGAGAGCCGCCGAGAGCCAACGAGCACGCCGAAAACGTCGAACCTCGAACCCCGAACCTCGAATCGTTGATCGGCGAGTGTAGGGTTCGGATTTCGCCGCCGACCTCCGAGGCCCCCCTGCCACCTGCCGCCTCGGCGGGCGCCCCCCCCCTCGCGCCCGCTGGACCCCTCGGATGCGAAGTCGGTCGTGCCCCCGGAACGGCGGCCCGGGAGCCTCAGCACATGAATCCACAGTGGCTTCTGAAGGAACGCACAGCGGCCTGTAACCATAAACGTGTGGAGCTCCGCGCAGACTTTCTGGATCGGCGCCAGGGAAGCCGCCAGGGGGTGCCCAGCGCGGATCCAAGAAATCCGCGCGGACTGTCGAAAGTTTCTGCGTTTGCCCTTCTTTGTATTCCGAAAAAGACGAACGAACGCCTACATGAATCCACGCTGGCTTCGAACGTTCGCAGTGTGCGAACAACTGCAGCACAAGTCTGGCCTCGCGGACGGGGGGGGGCGCATTCATGTACGGCGTTGGGCACGTACGTCCCCTGTGGGCTCCCTGGGTCCCAGGCCTTTCTGCGGTGTGCCTGAGTCCACCCACCACCGACCAGCCGCGACCTGGGGAGCTGTGCTCCCCCCCCCTGGGAGAGTAGAACCCTCCTATCGACGCATCTCTCTAGAAGGGCCTCGAGGCCGCTAGCTCACCCAGGAGAATGTACGAAAGACAGCGCCCCGTCCACAGACGGACTAGCATGTCGGCCTCGGTTGGAACCGAGGTTTAGTGTACTCCTCGTACTTCTCCTCCTCGCACTTCTCCTCCGCCTGGTTCCTGGCTCCTGGTGGCACAAGGTCCCTGCGAGTGCTACCCTCCTCCCCCCGGCCCGGTCGGCCCTTGGGGGGGGGGGTGATCAAACAGATAGCCTGGCGAATGGTATCTCTGGCTATGTGGGTATGCTCGACAAGGTAGAGGTAAAGCCAGCAGAACGCGGATCCTGCGCCTCCTCCTCCTCCTCCTCCTCCTCCTAAACATGTTCTTCCTCGCAAGCGTCGTCGTCGTCCTCCTCCTCCTCCTCTTCCTCCTCCTGCTTCTCCTCCTCATCCTGGTCCGTGTCCGCCTCCCGTCCTCGTCCATGTCTTCGTCCTCTCCTAACGCTCAGCGGCTTCCTCCTCCTCCTCGCCCTCCTCCTCCTCCTCCTCCTTCTCCTCATGCTTTACCTCCCCGTCCAACCCCTGCTACCCCACCTCCGACTCATCCACCACCGTATCCACATCCTTCTCTATCATTCTCACCTTACCCTACACCTCTCCTCCTCCTCCTCCTCGCACTCCTCCCTCTCCTCCGACTGTTTCTTCTTCTTCTTCTTCAATCCCGTACTCTTGCTCGTCATCCCCCCCCCCTCTTCGACCATCTCCTCCCCTCTTCCTCCTCACCCTCCTCCCTTCCTCCCGGCTGCCCCCGGCCCCCTCGTCTGGGTGAATCCAGAAATTACTGGTGTCGCTACTCCTGGACCTCTCCCGGGGTGCGTTCCGACCAGGATTTCGAGGCAGAGCCAACCGTGCCGACGAGGGCCTCTTGGGAGAGGAGGAGCAGCAACGGAGGCCAGCGGCAGCCGAGGGAGTCGGGAGGAGCCGCACTGGAGGTCGCTCACGGCAGGCCCTGCGCGGGTGGCGGCCGCATCGGTCCTGCAGGAAGCTCGGGTTGAAGGACTTGCTGAACTGGTCCCTCGCTTCGTCGCTGCTGAGCACAGAGATCGCCTGCGCAGTGCCGCAGTCCGAGGCCGAGCACAGATCGCCCGCACACGAGGCCCACCCTTGGTGCTACACATGGGGGCTACACACGGGGGCGGCATAATTAAAAGCCCTACATGGGGGGAGCCCACTCATACCCGCGTCAACGGTGGCTTTATCATTATGGCACCCAGGCTCAACCCAGCCCTTCATCGATTCATTCATGCACGCCCCCTCTGAAAGGTCCAAGCAGAAGGCACGGATCCCCTGGCCCTAGTTGACAAGACACGCAGGCTGCTCGTGTGAGCCTGGAGCCAAATCATAATTCCACCAACCCTCTCGGCGTGTGCGAGACGCTGTTCCTTTTGCCCTGTAGTTGTTGTCGTCGTCGTCGTCGCAGCACCCATCATCCTCCCCCTCTCCTAGTAACAGACAAGGTCGGGGGCACCGACCGTGAAGCCTTCACAAAGAAACTTATTCTGCATGTGCACAACCAATGCGGACAAAGAACAGAAGCCCATACACGGGTGAACTCGCAAGTTCAAATTTGTAAAACATTGAGCACGGCGACGGCACGAACATGCAACAGTAAATTCTGTAACACGGAACCACCCTCAAGAGGCGCGGCGACCAAGAAGCAACAGAGAGGCCCCCAATAATGTCCCGAAACACTCTCAACTTGCGTCCCTCTTCGTCGTTGCCGTGCCCTTCATTTTCTCGCCTCCGCTTTCCCCGGATTACTGTGCTCATCCTACCTCCTGAACCTGCCCCTCCTCCTCCTAGGGAAATGTGGGAGGAGTGAACGTCGGATGTGTCCCGAGGAGACCTGGCCTGGCGCTCTACATTCTATAACCGATGGATTATCCAACCCTTCGGCGTGTGGAAGACGCTGTCGTTGTCGTCGTCAGTCCCACAAACATTGAGGAGCAAGGACATTGAGGATCAGAGTAGGTAAATCGAAAGGGAACCCCTTCCCTTTCAGACCGTCCCTGCCAGAAGTGGGAGGGGGCGTCTCGGGGGTCCCAAAATCGTGTGGAGACAGACCTGGCGGTGACCTCGAAATCTCCAAAAACCTCACCGCAGAGTCCGTCACCACACGGTGTTGGCGTTGGGACCTTGGAGGCCCCAATCGCCCGAGACATTCTTTGAGAACGACCCAAGTCCCCAAACCGTGCGGTGACCCCGAATCCCCACCGACTCGCCACACGGTGTGTTCACCACCCCGTCTGGCCCCCTCCGAGCGTCCCAGGTCAGAATACCGACCCACCAGGGGGGATCATGGCGGGCCCACGGGGTGTCGCCAGCGGGGGTCCCAAAGGAGGTCCCACCTTCAAGGTCGGCGACAGTAGCCGTAATACCTTCGCAATACATGCGTGTGTACATATGCAACGTTCTCGTTGTGCATGTTTGTGTATTTGTACACAGGCTATAGTTCGTGCGTTGTACATATATATGTATATACATATATGAATGTGCAGTTATATACATGGGTGTGTGCTCGCCCCCTGTGATCATACCGTTTGCCGTGGCGTCGATGCTGTCCTATGTTTTTGCTATCCCATCCTTCCCCTCATGTGCTCCCCTCTCACCGTCGCTCCTCCTCATCCTTTCATCCTCCCTCAGCGGGGGTGTGGAACATCGGGCTGGGGGGCGGCGGGACAGCGCAAGGTTTCTTAGTGTTCTCTCGCGCTGGATCCCAGTCAATCCCTCTCTACCCTCAGGAGGGGGACGATGAGGAGGACGGAGGAGGAAAAGGACGGACTAGATAATGTGAGTGGGGCGGGAGGGGGGCTAGATAAGACGAGTGCGACCCCGACGATGATGAAGATAATGATGACGATGGCGATGATGACGATGACGATGACGATGACGATGGCGATGATGATGATGATGATGATGATGATGATGATGATGATGATGATGATGATGATGATCCGAAGGAGGTGCTGTTAACAAGGGACCCTTAGTAAGAAGCCATGAATAATGGAACCTTAAAAAGGAGAACTTGGTAAGGAAGATTCGCCACGAAATCCTTCATGAGGATTCTAAACTATGGAACCCTGAATTAAGAACATTTGCACCGACAAACAATTAATGAAAACTTGTTGCCGATAAATATTTGATACCTACCCTGAACTAAAAACTGTATCGCGTAATCTTAGTAAGGGAACCCTTAAGAAGGAACATAAACTGAGGACTCATTTGAAAGGAAACAGACCTAAGGAATGCCTACTAAGGAATTCAACGTGGAGAGTCTGCTATAAGGATGCGTCGAGGCATCCTTCATAAGGAATCAGAAGTACGGTTCCTTCTTCAGGAAAATGTTTCAAGAGCCCGCACTAAATAAACTTTACGATTGTATCCTTACTGAGGAATCCGTACCACGGACCCTTCACAAATAATACTAAACAGTCCCGAATAAAGAATATGAAGGGAAGAATCCTTAATAAAGAATCTGTGCTCGAAAACCCGTCATCAAGAATCCAGAATGAGGTATCATAATTGAAAAATCGGAGATCGAAGAGGAACGGAGAACCCCCCTACCGGGAAATCGGTCTCGGTTTCGTGTTCGTGCGTGCCATGCGTGCGGGCGAGGCGAAGCTGCGTGGGCGGGCGAAAAGAAAGTCTCCTCCGGCTGAGGCGCGGCCGGATTTAAATGTTTCCTTTGCGGGGGCCGGTGGGGAGCGGTGTCCCGCCGGTGTCCGGCCTCCGGCTGAGGCGCGGCCGGACCAAATGTTTCCTTTCCGGGGGCCAGTGGGGCGCGGTGTCCCGCCGGTGATGATGATGATGGTGATGGTGGTGATGATGGTGTCCCGATGATGATGATGATGATGATGATGATGATGCTGATGATGATGATGATGATGATGAGGATGTTGACGATGTTAATGATGATGGTGATGATGATGGCCATGGTGATGATGACGATGGTGTCCCGATGATGATGATGATGATGATGATGATGTTGATGATGCTGATGTTGCTGATGATGATGGTGTCCCGATCATGATGATGATGATCATGATGTTGTTGATGATGATGATGATGAAATGATGGGATGGTGATGATGATGATGATGAAGATGATAATGATGGTGTCCCGATGATGATGGTGATGTTGAGGTTGATGATGATGCGGTTGAGAATGATGATGGTGATGATGATGATGGTGTCCCGATGATGATGATGTTGATGATGATGGCAATGATGGTGTCCCGATGATGATGATGATGCTTATGATGAGGATGATGATGAGGTGATGATGCTGGTTTTGATGATGGTGGCCCGATGATGGTGATGCTGGTGTTGCTGATGGTGTCCCGGTGATGTTGGTGGTGGTGATGATGGTGACGATGATGAATATGTCCCGATGATGATAATGTTGATGATGATGATGTTGCTGATGATGGTAATTCGGATGATGATGATGGTGGTGCTCCGATGCTGATGATGATGGTGTCCCGATGATGATGATGCTGTTGATGATGATGGTGACGATGATGGTGTCCCGATGATGATGGTGATGATGATGTTGATGATGAAGGTGATGAGGTGATGATGATGATGATGATGATGATGATGGTGTCCCGATGATGATGATGCTGTTGATGACGTTGATGACGATGATGTTGATGATGATGACGTTGATTGTGAGATCGATTGTGATGACGATAATGAGATCGATAGTGAGACCGAATGTGAGATCAATAGTGAGATCGATTTTCAGATCGATAGTCAGATCGATCGAATGAAATAGATCGAGTGAGATCGATTGTGCGATCAAACGAGTGAGATCGATCGAGCGAGACCGATAGTGAGATCGATCGTGAGATCGATAGTGAGACCCATCGAGTGAGACGTTGGTTCCTCCCCCCCCAGGAACCTACTTATCACCCGAAGGGTGGTCGCATAGGTACGTTATAAAGAATGTGTACTAAGGAATCCGTAAAAAAAGAATATGTAGCAAAGAATCCTTACTACGGGCTCTGATTTAAGACATCCTGAGCAAAGAACCTGTACTACGGATTCCTTCCTGGGGAACATAACTAAAGAAATAATCCTGGATAAGGAATCTGGAATAAAGATTCCTGAGAGAGAGAGAGATAGAACCCCCTTGTAATAACACTCAATACACAATATTAATTGAAACACGCTTAACCCTGACTCCTTAAAAAACGATATGTCCTCCGGAATCCGACGTAAAAGAATACGTGAAAAAGGAATCTTCACTGATGGACCCTAAATAAGCATTTCTTAAGAAAGAAGGTGGATTAAGGAATGCTGGCTAAGGGTTCCTTGACACGGGATCTCTATGCGAAGAAACGTAGTAAGGAATCCTATGAAGGAACATGTTGTAATAGGGAGTCGCTAAGGGTCCCTTGAACAAGGAAAATCAACTAAGGAACCTTTACGGAGGAACATCAACTAAGAAATCCTTACGAAAGAACCTGTACTAAGGAACCCTTGCGAAGGAGCACGAATGAGTCCCCCATAAGGAGTCGTAACGATGGGGTCCTTAATGGACAGGCGTCCTCACCCTCGGTTCAAGGAAACGCTGTGTATGGTTGGTGGTTTGGTTCTGTTTGGACTGGGATGCAAGGGAAAATGGTGTATGTTTGGTTGTTTGGGTATTTTCAATGTTGCAGGCTCAAAGAAAAGTGATGCGAGGGAGGCCGCGGCGAGCACTGGGGTCTGCAAACAATACATCATAGTCTTTCGCGGCCTCGCACCCCCAAACAACAAAACAACACAAATACACAGTGGCTCCTTGCACCAAGGGCGCCAACTGCTGCATTGTTTTGGGTTTTGCAGGCTCAAAGAGTAGTGCTGCGAAGGAGACCGCGGCGAGCACTGGGGACTGCAAACAAAAAATCATGGTCGTTTGCGGCCTCGCACCCCCCAAACAACAAAACAACAAAAATACAAAGTGGCTCCTTGCACCAAGGGCGCCAACTACTGCATAGTTTTGGGTTTTGCAGGCTCAGAGAGAAGTGCTGCGAGGGAGGCCGCGGCGAGCATTGGGGCCTGCAGAACAACATGCACACAATGTGAGCTTGCATCCCAGACAAAAAACAAAACAAAAAAAGCAACAGTAGTTCTTCTGACTGAGGGCGCCAAGTGATGTCTGGTGGTTCTGGATTGCTACAAAGAGGAGGAGACGAAGGAGGAGCAGGAGGGACGGGGAGGAGAACGAACCTGTAAGAGAAAAACGACGGAAACGGGAATGGTAACCAGAGAGCAATACGAGGAGTGAGACATGATCACAGGAGGGGTGGCCACACATACACATACTATATACATATATAGGTATGCTATATATACATATATACATATATATAGCTGTTTGCTGTTTGATTGTCGTTTGTTTTGTCTCGCTCTCTCTCTCTCTCGCTGTACACACCACCCCTGAACTGTCCCTCTCTTCCTCCCCGTGTGCCTGTCTCTGTCTCACTCGGTAAGTCTATGTATGTATAGGTGCGTTCCCTCTCGCCCTCTCTCTCTATATCGCTCTCTCTCTCTGCCTTTCTCTTACATATGAATACAGATAGAGACACAATCGACATGATACCTGTATACATTTACATGTACCAATCTTTGGAACTCATGAAAATCACACGTGCCGGGGAGGTCTCCAGAACATCCGAGAACTCTTCAGAACGGCCTCCGAGGCCTGGAAGAAGCCTAGAGAGGGCACTGAAGGGCCCACACGACGACCTCCAGAGTGCATCGTCATCATCATCATCATCATCATCAGCATCAGCATCAGCATCAGCATCAGCATCAGCATCAGCATCATCCATCAGCATCCATCATCCATCATCCATCATCCATCATCCATCATCATCATCATCATCATCATCATCATCAGCATCATCAGCATCAGCATCATCATCATCATCATCATCATCATCATCATCATCATCATCATCATCATCATCATCATCATCATCATCATCATATAATTCAACGGGTGATCACTCATGTCCGTACTATCGCCATTTCGGGATTCCGAACCTCGAGACGGCCCGGGAAGCCCTCCAGACTGGCCCAAGACGGCCGAAGGAGCCCAAGGATGGCCTGGAGATAGCCCAAGAGGTTTCCACGACTGCCCACGATCCCCGTAAGACGAACAAAAAGAACCTCGAGACAGCCCCGAGAAGGGCCACAGGGGCAGGCCAAGGAGGGAGAACTCTCAGGGGCTCCTGAGCCCTCCGACACAAGAGGGCCCCCTACGACGCCCAATCTGCCCACAAGATGCCCCTCAGGGGCCCCCATGAATCCCTGAACTGGCCCCAATGAACCCCCAGAGCCTCGAACAGGCTCTCAAGAGGTCGCCCCCAAGGCCTCCAAGAGGCCCCCAAGCAGCACCGCGACAGACGCGGAGGAAGAGGGAGGCAAGCAAGTAACAACCACACGCATGCAACACGACAAGAAACGACAAACATCACATACGGAATCGGATCTCCCTCTCTCTCTCTCTCTGTCCACTGTCTGTGTGCTCTTTGTCTGCTCTCTGTACTCTCGCCATCTCTCCCTGCCCACTCTACCCGTTCGGCGCAATAGTTTCCCGTCTCTCAAAATTAAGGCACCTACTCTCTGCTGCAAACTCTCCATTCTGCTCTGCCTGCGCTCGCAAGGACCCTGGCACTTGGCCAAAACTAAGAAATCAATACGCGGGAACCAGAAACGCCATGAACCAACACCCCGTGAATCTGACCGTACACCGACATCGGCAGGATACGTTCGCCTAATCCTCCAACCTCTGCCAGCACCCGCACAGGGCAATCGCTTCTTGGGGAAATGTGGCAAACGGTAGCGAAAACCAAGCCACGATGTGCACCGCCCCCCCTGTGACCTCCTCCTTGGCCAGAGCCGGCCATGCCCACCTGCCGTCGCTGCTCGGGGCCCGCAACAACACCGAATGGCTCATCTGCGCACACCTCCTCCCCCGTGCCCTGGCGACGCTGCGCTGGGAGCCTGGGCGACTGCCGTGAGCTCCTCCTGCCTCATCTTCTGTCGCTCCTCCCACTCCTTGGATCGGGGGCGCGGGTCCCGCGGAGGAGGGAGGGAGAAGACGGACGATGAGGAGGGGGAGGGAGCTATTTGATCGAAGCTTGCAGATTTGCTACGCAGTGCATGCCGCTTCCATCAAACAGGAATTCGTGTAGCCACGCAGGGCAACGACGCAACACGCGCAACTGAAAAAGGCATCACACCAACACACACCAGAGTATCCGAGGTCGGACGCAACATTGCAACAGTGTGTGTGTGTCATTTGACGATTGACCCTTCGTTCATACAACCACGGGAAGAACGGGGCGCGCGACCCTGCCCGCCCGCTCCTCCGAAGCGAAGGGGGCACCCAGCACCGAGACACTGGACGGCCCAAAACACGCAAACGACAGGGCGGGTGGAATGGCGACCGCCGTGACAAGGAGAAAACAGGGGCTAGAAGATCAAGTCGCAAACGTTTCGCAGATGTGTTAGGGACATGCACCACCTCGTCGCAGACATACCGTCGCAGACACGTCGGCGACAACAACTGCAAGTTCGGTGAATCCCCGGAGGCGATTGCTGTGACTATTATGCGCGCGCGTGCCCGCTCCCCAACACAATCCGTTGGGTAGTCAGCCGACCAGCGATTCAAGATAGCATAAGTAGTGAAAACAAGAACTGCATGACAATAAACGTTCAGAGCTCCGCGCGGATTGCACAGGATCCGCGCTGGACTTACCCATCTCAATGGCGCGCAGAGCGCGCCAAAGGCGGTGCTGGAGGAGCCGCCAAGGGGGGGGCGGCATTGCCGATCTGAGAAGGCCGCGCGGATTTCCGAAAGCGTTTTGTTATGCGAACGACGCGGAGTGCCAAACCAAGAACCTGCTGTGATCTCTCGTGCCTCACTTGCGGGGACAGCAAGCGACCACCACTACATCGAAGGCACACCTTGGGAATGTCCTGCTCATGCCAACAATCGTCAGAACACCGAAACCAGCTTAGTGCCGGTTGTGGTCGATGTGGCATCCCTGGACGGCCAAATCGACCACAACCAAAACGGAGATGTTCATGCCGAGGTCGGTGGGTTCTTCCTTCAGTGCCCCTCCCGAACAATCCACTTAGGTGTGGCTGTGGTTCTTTGTTGCGCCTGGATCAATGCGGCCAAAGCACGAGGCTGTGTTCTCCATCACGGGTGAGGTACCCTGCTCCCGCCGGCTCGAGGGCTGCGCAAGGTATCGAGGCCGGGTCCTCGACGAAACGGATCCGCATCAAATCCGCCACCGTGCCTCCAGCACGCAGCGGAGTGCCCCAAGGCTCATGCAGCTTGACCGTGGCCAGCGAATCTCCTCATCGCACACATCACATGATTCGGTGCTGTCCCTGTAGCTCGCGCGTCTCCAACTCACACCATAAAGATCGCGAAGCAGAGCCGAAAGCCGAAAGCCAAATCGAAGCGGGTGAAGGCCGACGCTGCACTGTGCAGCCCTGTGCCGCCCAGGCCGAAACAGCGACCCCGAAGCAGTGTCGCGGCACACAGCCGTGGCCAACGAACTGCTGTCACTAGGGGGCAAACAAACCTACCTCGCTTTTGACCACCCTCGCTTCCAAGAGATACCAAGCGATGCCAAACTACGGCCTGTACTGGTCAGGCCGCTTGACGAGGAGGCGCGTGGTATGACTTGGTTTTGCCTGGAAGCGAAAGCGAGGTAGGTAATTCACAGCCGTGGCCAACGAACTGCTGTCACGTGCAACCGACTCGCCAGTGCACAAGGGGAGCGTCTGGGCCTGCGGGCGAGGAGGGAAGACGCAAGACCGCCACTCGCCCGAGGCCCCCAGGAGGGAGGCGGCAAGGAGGAGAGGCAGGAGGCAAGGGCGCCGGCGGCCGAGACGACGCAGACGCCCCACGCCGCCCTCCCTCCCCCCTACATGGGACGCAGGAGGACATACTCGCACCACGTGCCCTCCTCGGAGGCGTGCGTCCGACCCGAACATGCACTACCACCATCCTGTACTATTTACCGCTTCCCGAGCGGCATGGCCAGAACGCGCCCACCGCCGAACAGAGTTGCTGTAAGACTTCTCGGTGCGCGCGTCGCCGCTTCGGGGGCGAAGCACACATGGTATCAATCTGTCGGGGTGCCGCCGGCTCCAGGACGATGGGGGGAGGGGGGGGGAATCACCAGGCCCGCCCGCTGGGGAAGCGATCGCATCCGCTCGCGCTTCTAAAACAGAGTGACATATTGAGCCTCGCCTCGACGAATCCCGGCCTCGGGCGCGGCGGCTCTCCTGTCTGCCCTGTCGGGGACCCGCTGCACGAGGCTGTGCGCCTCAATGCAACATCAGAGTCCAGATGGGGCATACCCGCGGACGAGGTCGATGCGCACCCCTGAACAGTGCTGTGAGGGGGTCCAAGAGGAGGGGTGGCATCCAAGCCGAGCTTCGCAGCCAGAAGGGGGGAGCGCAGGAAGAAAACTAATAATAACAATAACAAGAAGAAGAAGAAGAAGAGGATGAAGAAGGCGAAGAGGAGGTAGGACGTGGAGGGGTAAGAAGGACAAGCGGCCTAACCATGAACTTTCGGCGATCCGCGCCGATGCCTCGGGTCGGAGTTGGGCCCCCCTGGCGGAGGCCCAGCGACAGTCCAGGGAAGCCGCGCGGACGTCCCAGAGGCTGTGTTCGCGCAGCTTGTGAGTATTTGAGGGGGAGGTACGAGAGGGGTGATCGAGATGGTGAGGGGGAAGGGCAGGTCATGGGGACAAGCCAGGACAGAAGCTGACCGTCTGCAATGGCCTATCCTCCGATCCCAAACGAACCCAAACCATGACAAACCCAAGCACAGCCGACGTAGGTCCAAGCGATCAGTCTGTGAAATGTATGGGGTGCCGCCTAGATGGCACAACCTGTGCAGTACACTCCATGTAGCAAAATATCTGTGATAAAATCTGTATTGTGCAACTGATATGTTGTTATCTAAGGGGTGCAACTTAGGCGGCAATCTATGCAGCGCATGCTTTGCGGAGCCATGTTTGCGCTGTAACCGGTGCGGTGTTACATGTTCGGTGGGGTCCAATGAGATGGGCAGGACCCTATGTCAGGCAACACGCGCGAAATTCCCGCTGATCAGGTGTTCGAAAACTTCGTCTGTTAAAGTCACTGCGCTAGAAAGCAGGCAAGAACCCCTCGGGGGAAACATGCCCCAGAAGAACCCGAACTGTTGCGGCCGGCCACTCGTTGTGTCCGGTCGCTGGGGCCTCGATTCTGGAAGTTCCCGAGACACCTGCTCCGAACAGACACTACATCTCATGGCTGGCGATGGTCAGCTCCGTCGGCCTCCTCTGGCGGGGCCGCCGCCAGTTTACTTCCGCCGCCTCCCGCGAGCCTTCCGCCGAGGCAGAGATGCCAACTCCTTGGATCCTCGAGGGCGGGGCCCTCCTCTGAGGCGCCTCGAAGGAAAGAGGCGACGCGGGCACAGACGATGCAGCAGGGGCCTTGAGGCAGCTTGGCGGTCCCTCCTCTCGGCAGGCGCCCGACGGCGCACGCGCCGCGGCCGCCCAGCTCAATCAAGCCCGCGCATGGTCTCCGTCCCCTCGGCTCGCCAGCGGTGCGTGCTGGGCCGCTGCGCCGCCGCCGACGACGAGGAGGACGAGGAGAGCGAGGAGAGCGACAACGACAATGGCGGCGTCGACCACGAGGGGCACGTCGCGCTCGCCTGCAGGAGTGCCTGGGCCAACGCCCAGCCTCACACGCGGATCCCTGCAGACGGCGCCGTGCACGCCGACTGGGCACGCCCAGAGGGAGCTTCCTGGCAAGTCTCTTAGTGACAGAGTGAGCTTCCTGGCAGCTGCACTGGCAGCGCGAAGTGCGCCGCAAGCGAGCGGGCAGCCTCGTGAGGCCCACAAGAGGCTCCCGGGTGGGACGCCACCCCGGGGCACCTTCACCATCGGAACCAAGCAAGCCCAATGACGGATCAGCGCTTGTAACGCAATGTGCGCCGCAAGCCATCAACGGGCACGCTCGAAGTGAGATTCCTGGCAGAACTTCCTGGCAACAACGCTGGCGTCGTGAACCTGCCGGGAACGAGGGGGCATGCTTGAACTGAGCTTCCCAGCAAGCTTCCTGGCAACAACGTCGGCCACACGATGTGTGCTGGAAGCCAGCGCAAACGCTCGGAGAGAGCTTCCTGCCGACAAGGCTGGCCAAGGTAATGTCCCCCTCCCCATCTGCCCAAGCAAACCGGCAAGCTTACGTAGGAAACATGTAAGCGACAATCAGATCGAAGACGGTACTCGTCGGGGCCATCAGTACTCGTCGGCGCCACGATCGAGGCGAAAGGGATCCGACAGAAATTCGTTGAAGGGGCATCCTTCCGCAGCTCTCTTTCCACGGCCCGCAGTGGCCAACCGTCTGTCCACGACAGAGCGAGGAGACGGATTGTCGCACGCTTCCGACAGACCACTGCACGCCTTCCTGCAGAGCAATCTTGAAAGCGCAGCAGGCTCCTGGTCGGTCAACGCGCAGCTCTCCTGCAGATTTAACAGGAACTGCTGATCCGACGACAGCGACGCCTTCGTGTCCTCGATATCCTGAAGCGGCCCCTCTGCAAATAGGTCCAGGCCCAATCCCCCCGCAAGCATCATTTCCTCTGTTGCTCATGATGCCCGCCTAGCCTTTCCTCCTCCGCGCCTTCTGCACCGTCGCTGTTACATCCTAGCCCCGAGCTGAGGAGCTGGTTTGGCGAAAGAAGGCGGCAAACTGTCGGACCGGCGAAGGCTGCCCATGGGATGGAGGGTCAGAGAGCGAAGAACAAGCTAGCCCAAGAACTTTCCAGAACCAAGCTGGTTCACGTAACTACGAGCGCCCTCCACAATTTGAGCAGAGACCGGTCGTCCTGCCATTCCTGTAGGCCTACCGCAACATTTCCTTCAAACCCGCAAGCGCTCGAAAAGCAAGCGCAAGACCCGATGTGATAACACAAACAGTCCCGGCGCCAGACATGTTCCAAGAACACGTCGTGCAGACCACACAGGTTCTTAGAA